GACTGCGGCGTGGGGACGCGGAGCAGCCGTGCAGATCGCGCAGTAAGTGAGCTCTGGAGGACCGCGACTCGGCGAAGCCCGTCCAGGAGGGCTGCGTCCAGCAGGCCACCCTATCCCTGGAGGTCCACGGCAGCGGTGCGGAGCTCGGGCGCGTCGTCAAGATGTTCTTGGAGCTCGCGAGGGGGCACGAGGCTCGGGCAGAAGGAGACGCCAAGCCGGGTGCTGTACCTGTGCGGGGATATTGGCGCACACCTGAGAAGGGCGGGTCAGTGGAGCACTGCAGTGAGGACGAGGAGGAGCAACCTCTGCTGACGTTCCCGCCCGCGGAGGTCACCCCACGACCCCTGCCGAAAGGCTGGGACCAGGGTGGATGAGGGGACAAGCCGCGGGCAAGGGCACCAGCAGAGCATGCCCAGAAGACCAGGCAGAACCTCACGGGAGGCCAGGAGGACGAAAACAGAGGGCGGCCTGTTTTTCCTGGGGGACCAACAGAGCCTCCTCAACGGCGGCCCGCAATTCGCCCGATACCGATACGGCAAGTGGAGCTGAGGATGCCGCCAGAAACGCGACCAGGAGAACCAGCAGAGCTTCTCGTCTCGAGGACAGGTGCCCTGCACCTGAGGCGGTGTGGGCCCGCGCAAACAATCCCTTACCAGCCTGGAAGATATCCCTATCCCTATGCTGGGCACCTCCTCATCACGATGCCAATCTTAGGGCTTATTTTTTGAGGGCGAATCCCTAAGATTGTCATCGCCTTTTGGCGTGTCAAGCTTAGGGATAGGGATACGTTCGAGGCAGGTAAATCCCCAGAACTCCCCCTACAAGCAAGGCGAGGAGCACGGCCAGCAAAACGTGCAGCCGAGGACTGGCTCGGCCGCGAGGGCGGCCAGAAGCACGGCCCCGAGCACCAGAGCCACGAGGGCCACCGGGAGCACGGCCCAGAGGACCAGCTGAGCGACCAGCTCTACCAGCCTCGAACGTATCCCTATCCCTAAGATTGACACGCCAGAAGGCGATGCCAATCTTAGGGATCCACCCTCAAAGAATAAGGGAATCCCTAAGATTGGCATCGTGATGAGGAGGTGCCCAGCATAGGGATAGGGATATGTTCCAGGCTGGTAACAGCTGGGACAGTTAGGAGCATGTCCCAGAGGGCCAGCGGGGCCACGAGTGACCAGGTGTCCGACCCCGAGGACCAGCTGAGCGACGGGGACCTGCACCCTGGACGCGGCGAGGGCCCGCAGAAGCCGCCCTCAGCCCTACCCCGATCAAGCAGCAGAGAGGGGGCGGCCAGGAGCGCTGCCCAAAGGAAAAGCAGCCTCCCGGGAGCGAGGCGGGCGAGCTGGGGGCAGAGACGGACGCAGAACTCGCTGCCGCCCGCGCTGCGATGGCCGCGCGGCGCCGGCCCCGGAGCAGCCTCAGCGCTGCTGCATTCGCTGGACGGAGCCAGGCGGCAACGAGCACGGCATGCTCCCGGGCGCAGCTCCAGGTGCTCGAGGAGCTCGCGACGCGACCCTGCGGAGGTCGGCCGCCGCCGTGGAGGCCTGTCGGAAGCGAGGCCCGCCCCGCGGCGCGCCGAGCGAAGGAGGGAGGCCAGCAACGCCACCCACCAGTCCCCTCCTCGGGCGCAGGGGGCTCAGCGAGGCAAGGGGCGGTGACGTGCCACGAGCAGCAGGTCGTGAGCCTCATCGGGCCGCTCTGCCCGCGCTCACGTGGGCCGGCCGCTGGAGATCCTCCTGCTCCTCCTCCTCCTCCTCCTCCTCCTCCTCCTCCTCCTGGTCCTCCTACTCCTCTCCTCCACGCTCTCTCCACCCTTCTTCCTCTCTATCTCTCTTCCTCCTGCTCCTCCTCCTCCTCCTCCTCCTCCTCCGGCGCTGCTAGACGAGGAGGTCAGGAGGATGAGAAGGAGGAGGACAAGGGGGAGGCCAGAGGAAGGATGAGGAGCAGGAGCAGGAGCAGGAGCAGGCGGAGGATGAGGAGGATGAGGAGGAGGAGGAGGAGGAGGAGGAGGAGGAGCAGGAGGAGGAGGAGGAGGAGCAGGAGGAGGAGGAGGACGAGGAGGAGGAGGAGGAGGAAGAGGAGGCTAGAGCAAGGATGAGGAGCAGGAGAGGGAGGAAGGGAATGGGAAGGAGGAGGAGGAGGCACCCCCCCTCCCTCTCCACCTCCTTCTTGCTCTCTCCCCCCGGGCCACCGCCGCCTCTTCCGCACGCTCGTGGCCACCCCGAAAGCCGACCTCCGCCTCTCGATGCTCGGCCGCTGGGCCTCTTTCCGGGGGAGGGGGATGATGATTATGATTCTGATCATGATAATGATGGTGGTGGTGATGATGACGCCGATGATGCCGATGATGATGAGGAGGAGGAGGAGGACGACGATGATGAGGAGAAGGGTGAGGAGGACTTGGGCTCTACAGCTCACTCCCCAGCACCGTATATGAGCTGGCGGCGTTGGGTGACGCCAGATCGGCCACAGGCTTACGTAAACGAGTTGAAGCACCGAA